TATCGGTTAAGATTTGGATATAGCTTCCAAATATATATTTAACCGATTTCAGGTTAATTGTGCACCAAATTGTTAGCATCTGCCCAAATGGACTGAATTTTGGCAATTACGACTAAATTTTACTTAGAAACAAGTACTTCAAATTTGGTGTAAATTGGTTCAGATATAGCTAATAGCTTCCATATATACGTTTTTCCCGATTTGGGGTTTAAAGTCTTTAAAAGTCTTAATATGCATTCCACAACAATAATCTTTGGTAGCAGATATCAGGTACAACTCGGAAATAATTTGTCAAGATCGGTTCTGATTTGGACATAGCTCCTACATATATCCTCAACCGATTTCCAGTTAATTGTGCACCAAATAGCCAATATCAGTCCCAATAACCTGAATTTCGGCATATCCGATCGAATTCAGTCTAGAAGCAAGTACATTAAATTTTGTGGAAGTCGATTCAAATATAGCTATAGCTCCCATATATATGTTTCATCCGATTTGGGGTTTTAAGTCCTTCATATTCGTAATATGCATTTAACAACTTTAATATTTGGTACCAGATATCATATAGAGCTCGGAAATACCTCTGCCTAATTTTATCAAGATCGGTTCAGATTTGGATGTAGCTCCACATATATATCTTCCACCGATTTCGGATTAATTGTTCACCAAATGGCTAATATCTGTCAGAAAGTCTTGAATTTTGGTACATACGACCGAATTCGGTGTAGAAGGAAATACATCAAATTTGGAGAAAATCGGTTCAGATATAGCTATAGCTCCCATATGTATGTTTCATGCGATTTGCGGTTTTAAGTCCCTCACATTCGTAATATGCACTCGACAACTATGATATTTGGTACTATATATCTCATAGAGCTCGGAAGTACCTTTGCCAAATTTTATCAAAATCGGCTCAGATTTGGTGTCACATAGTCGACGCTTCCTTCCTTTCTTTACTGATTAACTCTACTTTTATGAACGAGTCCAGCAAAATTACTGAACTCTGATACCGGATTCATGATATGGACATGCCATCAGGTGTTCATTTGCAATATCTATCGAAATTTAGAGCCTTTCGATAGATGAATTTCTCTAGCCAAAGACTAAGATCTAAGCTTAGCACTCAAAGGTGGTATCGATAAATTTAAATACTTTAATCTACATTACCTACATTTTCAAACGAAATTACTGTGTTTTAATAAAGTGGAATATCAAAGAGTACTCTCTCTCTCTCTCTCTTTGCAAAAATGTAAACATTAAACCCGTTAAACGTTCCCGTATCTCCCAATCATTTACAATATTAAGGTCCTTTATACAATATTTTAACCGATTTTTGTTTTAATTCTTTTTATTTTCAAATACTACCCTCACTATATGCGTAGCTGCTACACCTACACATACAATGAGAAATGAGAAAATAAATGTTATCAAGTAAAAAATTATTGAAAACAATTGCGTTTTTATAAAAATCAGAATAAGAACTTGCCAAGCCAAGATGTCCAGTAAAATAGGGTCTACTTGGATTTTTCGTTATAGGGGCCTTGCCGAGAAAAAGTGGAAAAATTATGAACGAATAACCGTTAAGTCGAATAGTTTTCTTTCGGAAAATACGTACTTTTCAAGATCACTAAAATTCTTTTAAAATTATATTTCAAAATTGTATTTTTTATGTTTAATTGATTTACATAAATAAAAACAAGTAAGATAAAGTCAAAAGCCGGGTGGGGCCGACTATATGATACCCCACACCACTAAGCATATTTAGTAGAGATCCCGTAACAAAAGAATATCAAAACTTGGCTTTAGAGCAATTATAGTTCGGTTTCAGAGGGAACTAATATTTGGGATGCAAATCCAATTCTGAATCGATTCAGAATTCATTAAAATTGACGGAGACATTTTAATATTTTATACTCATTAACATTACTATAGAGTGCAGGATATCACTTCGAGAAGGATTATATTAAACAAGTAAAAAAGCTGTAAGTTCGGCCGGGCCGAACTTTGAATGCCCTGCACCATTTGGTACAAATTTAACAATTTTCAAAAAATAAAAAATAAAATCCCTTAAAAATCTGTTAAAATCTTGAAAATACCTAATGTAGCCGTATATTAGAGTCTATACGACGATGTGGACCTGCATAGGCAACTTTTGTCACAAGCTATCACAATATTCAAATGCGAAACTTGAAAAAAAAAAACTCTGTTTATAATGCACAGGCAATTTTCTGTTATAGGCTGTAATATCGAACTTCACGAACAGAAATTTTACGTCATAGGCTGTATTATTCATTACAAACTTCAAATGCGAAATTTGAAACAATTCAGGTAAATAATGTCGCTAAAATCAAGAAAATACCGAAGATCGGGGGGGGGGGGTACCGTTATATGGGGGATATACGAAGGCGTGGACCTGCACAGACAACTTTCTGTGATAGGCTGTAGCATCCATTATGAACTTCAAATGCAAAATGTGAAACAATTCCGGTAAATAATGCCGCTAAAATCATCAAAATACCGAATATCGGGAGGTACCATTATATGAGGGCTATACGACGACGTTTTTTGTCTTTGGATGTAGTATTCATTACGAACTTCTAATACTAAAACTGAAACAATTCCGGTAAATAATGTCGCTAAAATGATCAAAATACCGAATATCGGGGGGTACCGTTACATGGTGGCTATACGAAGACGTGGACCTACATGGTCCATTTTCTGTTTTATGCTGTAGTATCTATTAAAAATGTCAAATACCAAATTTGAAACTATTACGGTGAATAATGCCGCTAAAATAATCAAAATAACGAATATCGGGAGGTACCGTTATATGGGGGCTATACCAAAACGTGGACCAACATGGCCCATTTTCAATACCAAAAGTCCTGCAGACATAACATATATTCGAGCAAAATTTTATCAATTTACTTCAATTCGTTCGGAAGCTAAAGTGATTCCCACAGACCGACGGACATCGCGAAATCTACATAGAATTCTATGCTGATCAAGAATATATATACTTTGTGGGGTCTAAAATGTATATTTCGAGGTGTTACAAACGGAATGACAAACTTAATATACCCTTCATACTATGGTGGAGGGTATAAAAATATATATCGGAGCTGAGTTGCTGATATTAGCCATTATATACAAAATAAACCTGAAATCGAATTAAGGATATACAAGGTGAGATAAAATTGCAACAATGTCAAACAACATAATTTTTACATTTTCCTTTAAATTTTATTGAATGAAAGCAAATAATAGCATCAAATTTTAGAATAAGTTTTGACATCGAATTGGTCACCTTTGGCACGAATTATGGCCTTCAAACGGCCACTGAAAACTTCACACGCTGCTGTATTTTGGTCCATTCCCAGCCAAGCTCTTGCTTGAGGTAATCGACATTTTGGTATTTTTTAGTGCCAACCTTGCTTTCCAAAATACTCCAGACACAATAGTCCAACGGATTGGTATCCGGAGATTTTGGTGGTCTTTGTGCTCTGGAAATGAAGCGAGGAACCTCATTTTGTAACCATTCTTGGGTGTCGCGTGCTGAGTGCGATGGTGATGAGTCCTGTTGGAATGTCCAAGGTCTGACCTCTTTGGCAAGTAAACACCATCATTTCGTTTGTTTACAAACTGGTGGACAACGTTTTCTCATCGGCGAAACCCTAATTCGACAGTTCACCACTTTCGGCCTTGCGAAGCAACTCTTTAGCTCTTTTGAGTTTATTTTCTTTCCGTTGCGGTGTAAGTTCTTAGACTTTTTGGAATTTCAATGGCCCTACCCCGAGCTAATTTTTTAATATTTGCCGAATGGAATATTGCGATATGTTTAGCTCACGAGCCTTTTTTTGGCCACTGCGACGCGGTGTTCGATCAAGTCGCTTCTTTACTTTTCGAACCATTTCTGCTGGTGTTGCTGTTTTCTTCCGTCAAACTTCCTTGACGTCGCTACAAGTACCACGGTAACGAGCGATGGTACGAGACACAAAGGATTTATTCACATTTTAATGCTGGAGTGCTCTAACGATAGCCATTTGTGGTTTTCCAGCCAAATATAAAGAAATCGCACTATCACGCTTGAGTTCCATCACGAATAACTTTTTTTTCTGGAAAATTCTTACCGAAATGCTTTTGTACGCTTGCAAACAATATAATGAGTTGTCACTGGAATAATTTTAACAGCTGTCGGACGAGTGGCTTAGAAATGACAGAAGTCTGAAGTTGGTTGCAGTTTCCTCATCTCACCCTTTCTATGGAAGTTATGACTATCTGAACCGATTTTCACCAAATTTGATGTACTTGCTTCTGGTCTGAATTCGGTGAGATGTTCTAAAATTCAGGACTTTTGGACTTATATTGGCCATTTGATGAACAATTAATCCCAAATCGGTTGAAGATATATATGGGAGCTACATATATCCAAATCTGAACCGATCTTGATAAAATTTGGCAGCGTTATTTCTAGCCTGTATGTGATATCTGGTACCAAATATTATTGTTGTCGAAAGCATATTACGAATGTGAGGGACTTAAACACCAAACCGGATGACACATATATATGTGAGCTATAGGTATATCTGAACCGATTTTCACCGAATTTAATGTAGTAAAAAATCAGGTCATTTGGACTTATATTGGCCATTTGGTGTACAATAACCCGAAATGCACAAAGACATAATACCCTTACCACCATGTGGTGTATGGTATAACAGTCATAAGCCCTTGAATTTCCAATGTCCTGCCTAGAGTACTTTATGGTAATGTAGTACAGTCACAACCATAACAACACACATTGTTTCTTATATATATATCTACGGATTAAATCTGCGGTATATGCCTAATAATAAAGTGACTTAGAATAATGAAACCAATTTTAAAAGATTCATTTTTAGCAAAACGAAAAGAAACCGATAAAAAAACCACCCAACGAACTTTAGTTAGATTATGGTTTATATTTTTTCTGTTTCACAACTTGAGTTCACTTCAAAACACAGAACTGTTCTCAGTTGTAATGCGGCCGGACTTTAAGAAACATCCACTACTCTACGCGTTGATAATTAATGCTGTTCTAAATGTGTTCAAATGATATTGGTTATATGAGGGCATCAGATTATGTTCTACAGTTGGAGGGAGCTAGTCCAATGGTGATAAAAAAACAGCGTGAATTCTGAAGAAAATAAATAATATTTATATTATTTTAAATCATTTATTGTGCGAAACTTTAGAAACGTCGTTCATTTCAAGATGGTGTCCGCGAGGTGGATTTCGTTTTGGCTTACAACGGTTCCGATCAACGAGAAGATCATGTGAAAAAACGTGAAATATTTGAAGCAAACCTCGAGCATGAAGGTCTGCAACTTGAACGCGATAAAACACAAAATGTTCATTTCGTTTTAATTCACGCACCCAAAGAGGTTCTATGTCGTTATGCAGAAATACTTAAAATTAAAATGCCCATGAAAGTGGTATGTATAAGTGTGTGTAGTGGTTCAGTGGTATGTGTGTATGAATCAACACCTCAAGTGATATGAAGAAGGAAAATAAAACTAAATTCTCTGAAAAAGAAAAGTGGATCAGTATTGATAGATTTTAATTTGAATATAGAACCAGTAAAGAAGGACAAAAAGTAGGGCGGTGCCTTACGTCTGGTAGGGCAAAAAAATTAAAAGGTATGAGTCGGTTTTGTCGGTCGATATATACTATCAGCCAATATCCGAATATTTAAATATATTTTGACTTTTGTTATGATTATTCAAATTGTTGATCCCTTATGGAGTAGGTTCCGAAGGATATAGCAAGATGTAAAGAATCGCTACCTTGTTTCGCAAGTTATGACAGATAAAATTATTGGAAATTGTGACCCTTTGTGGAGGAGGTACCAGAAGGAGTTGGGAGACATATATAATCTTCATTACAGATCTTGTTTGCAAAAATGTTTGTATCCGTGAAATTTGAAGAGTGTTTGATGCTTATAAATCTTTGACCTGATGCGGGGGAGGTATAAGAAGAAATGGTCCAATCTCTGCCATCTTTATAACAGATCTTATAGAAATACATGGTTGCCCATATTCGACGGACCCATGTTTTTTTTCGGCCATTTCGATGACTCTTTGGGCCCATTCCAATGGACGAGGCTTGTCCGCAGGCAACATTCTTTGCGTCAATTGAATTTTGTACGGGAACAAATGCAAATCAATGCGAATAATCCGTTGTAAAGTGGACCGAGCCATGCCCAACTGCTGAGAACGGAGTTTTTGGGATGTTCTTGGGGACCTCTCAACAGTGGCTCGTACGGCAGCGATATTCTCGGCCGATCGCCTTGGTCGACTTTTATATGGCCTCTTCGGATTAGAAAGAGCCTTACCAGTCGAAAATTTTTCGTATAAACGCTTAATGCTAGGAACACAATTGGAGCGAACGACGAATTTCGCCCTACGCGGCGACAAAATGAGCCGCGAAAATTCGTCGTATGGAACACAATACCGACGAAATTATAAAACAGCTGATGAAGTTGTTTACTTTTTGCTCATTTGTTGACTACAATGAATTATACAAGAACACATAATTCTTTACGTTCTCTATTAAAATTTCACTTATGTCCATCTTCTCTATTATAAATTCACTGATATCCATCTTCACTCAGGCGCAAGTACAAAATAAATAAACAAATTAATTATGTTTTTTTTTTATACGAGTAACAGATAGTAGAGTGACCATAACAAATTTTAAAGTAAAAAGTAACTTTATTTACTAAAACACATAAAATTCGTACAAGTATGGCCACCTCGTACTGTTTTGTTCGCCGGTCGCCGGCGTATGAAATAGAAATAAAGCTAATTGAGTTCGCGGCGACCGACGAAATTTTCGCCGGTGCCGTGATTGTGTGCACTTCCATATACACATATGTGTTTTATTTTTGACGACGAACATACGCCGCGAAAAAATTCGTCGTTCGCTCCAATTGTGTTCCTAGCATAATGGTGTTCTTAGAAGGCGCACTTCTCACATTTTTTAATGTTTTAAAAGCACGTTGAGTTTTCATAATTGACTTCTTCTGTTGAATGTAAATTTCAACTATTTCAGAGCGATCGCGTGGCGTGTATTGGTTCATGGTAAAAATCAAACGCGGTATGTCATTAAGCGATGTGACATCTCTGTCAAAAGTTATGGCGTTGGCAGATGGGTCCGTCGAATATGGGCAACCCAGTAATGGGATGTGTGAAATATGAAAAGATCCGGATGCTTATTTCGGATTTTATGATCGTTATTGGTTATAAAAAATTTTGATCCTTTGTGGGGGAGCCACCGGAAGAAAGGGTCCAATCTTTACCATCTTTATAACATATCTTGTGTTAATGGAAATATTGAGATGTGCGAAGTTTGAATGAAATAGGATGTTAAGATCGCGTTTTATGAGGTTCATGTGTATTCAAAATTTTGATCCTTTGTTGGGGAGGTGCCAGAAGCAGTGGACCGATCTATCCCATCTTCACACCAGATCTTGTGTTACTGAAGATATTGAAATGTGTGAAATTTAATGAATATCGGATGCCTAATTCGGATTTTATGAGAGATATCATTATTCAAAATTTTGACCCGTTGTGGGGAAGATACCAGAGGGATGGACCGATATATCCACCTTCTTCACACCAGATCTCTTGTCAGTAAAAATAATGGAATGTGTAAAATATGAATAGAACCGAATGCTCATTCAAATCTTTGACCCTTTGTGGGGCAGGTACCAGAAAAAATTGTACCATATTTATAACAGATCCTGTTTTAATATAAATATTGATATGTGCCAAGTCTGAATGGAATCAGATGTTAATTTCACGTTTTATAAGCTTCATGGGTTTTCAGAATGTTGACCCTTTGTGGGGGAGGTACCACCAGACCTTGAATTAGCAAAAATATTGTGAGGTGTGTAATTTGAAGATGATCGGTCTCTGATATCACATTTTACAAGAATTATAATAATTAAAAAAATTTGACCTTTTGTGGGTGGGGTACTTGATGCAGTGGACCTACGTTGTCCATCACTTATGCAAATGAGATTTTCAAAGTTAGGACAAAATCGGATGATCATTTCTCGTTCTGTGTACTAAAATATTTTCTTTGAAAATGTCGACCTTTTGTGGGGGAGGTACCAGAAGCTGTGGACCGATAGTGCTCATTTCCGAATTCGATCTAAGTTTGATAATAACATTACGATGTACCGAGTTTGTTCTAAATAGGATAATCCTTTCGAGAGTTATCGTGCTCACTAGCGTGAGCTGTTTATACAACCTTTATATATGTTATATTCTTTTTCAACTTAAAACATTTTCGCGGTTTTAAATTCTAGCCCTTTTCCTTCTCTATGTACCACTGTGTACTTTTCGTACTCGTTAAAGTGCTCATTTGCAAATCGACCTCCTTATCTAAACACATATAACGATCAAAATCTATGATTCCAGCTTTATTCCTACACTCCCTAAGGAATTTAATACATTTCGTAATCAAAAAAAAAATCGCTCTATTCCTGCATTCATCAGTATGAGTTGACTTTTCCAAAACGTTAAAACACAGATTTAAAAATTCACTTCAATATCTAAACGCTACATACTCACAGTGACCCTAATACTAATATTTACAATTCTAATACTTTTCCTACACTCTATATCAAATTTAGTACCATTTGGTACTTATGGTACACGATATAGTACGTATTTTAAAATTCAACTCCTTATCTATATGATTGGCATTCTAATGGCAGTGTTTCTAATACCAAAATTCATAAATCTTGTTCTATTTTTAGACTTCGTGATAAAATTTAGTACAATTTAGAACTCTTCGCACACTTATTGTAAAATTTCCAGAAAGCGTATCGATACTTAATTTCAACATTTTATTTTAATCCATTCTCCGAAAATCCAAGTTTAGTACAATTTAGCACTAAGTACTTCTTTCCAAATCACTTCCCTGTATTGAATCCCGCTTTCAAACCTTAATTCTCATAAAAAAAATTCAAGATTCTTCTGCTCTATCCCTTCACACAACAAACTAAGTGGATGGATTAATAAATTAAATTTTAGTACCTTTTAGTACACATAGTAGCTCGGACTAAAAAAAAAAAAAAAAAAAAAAAAAAAAATACAAAAACTTTGTTTTACCTCTACACAGCAGCATTATTCCAAATATTAAGATTCTGGGCGTTGATAAATCAGCCAGTCATCCACTCATCACTTTATTCTTTACGAAAGTTCTAAACTAGTATTAAATTTCTAAAATGGTACCATTTGGTACAATGTGAGCGGATAGAGCTACTAACTTGAAATTCGGTATGAGATCAAGATTGGGAAGTAAGTATTTGAAATTTTCTATTGGCTACCTTTTGGTGATAATGAAGCGGTTTTGGAATATTTGGTACAATTTGGTACTGCGTTAACAAATAGTGCTTGAAATCTGAAATTTGATATTTTGGTCGCTGTTTATGTAAGCCTACTGAATAGTAATATATTTGGTATTGGGTGAAGGAATAGGACTGAAATCCTCAATTTTTTTTTATTGAGGTCTCTGTTGATATCTGGAATTGAGATATGGAGGTTGTTTTGGAATTGTGTACTATAATTGTACGAGAAGTTCTAAATGATCCTAAATTTGGTATTTGGTGAATGGAAATGGCTGGAATTCTCAAATTTGATATGGAAGTCTCTGTTGGTATCTGGAATTGAGATATGGAGGTAGTTTTGGAATTGTGTACATTAATTGTACGAGAAGTACTAAATAGTACCGAATTTGAGCATTTACACGATATACGATAAGGTGGTCTTAACGCAGACGAAGTAGCGGCCACTTGCTAGTATAAAAATATATCTATTGCAGGCAGATATGTATACTCGACTCCTTCCACTTCTTGTTCTTTCCTTACTGGTTATTTTAAGGATAAATACATTGGAGTTGTGTTCTTAGGGTAAATTACCTGTGTAGGCTATGTTAAAACTACAAAATCTTTTAGGTGACTAGATTGAGGCCAAAAATATTTATGCAATAAATATTGCATTCCTTTTTCAGATACCTGGACAAAATCGAATCTATGATGATGAAGACAATTCTGTGAACTCGAAGACTGCAGAAGGCGATGTAAAACCCTTTTCCAAAACAAATCGCATATATTCGGAATTTCAACGAAAACATGCATGTTTGTAAGTTGTGTTGTTAGCCAATCGGGGTTCAAACTTCTATCTACTGTTCAAAAAAACCAAGTTTTTCTAAAATATGTGTATTCTTTTTAGATTTAACACTGACCTGCCAAATTTCTTTGATTCGGCTACAAGAATTAGTATAATAAATTTTATTTTGGAACGTCAACGCTTTGTAAAGGGCGAAGAAACGCCCGACAATTTGGGTATAGAGAAACTAATTGCAGATGGTGTGTATGAGAGCGCCTATAGTCTACATGATGTAAGTAAAACGCAGCAATTATCGAAAATTGGAAAATTAAACTTTTTTGTAGGAAACAGCCCGTCAAGTATTGTTAAAGGAGTGGGCGTGCCTAAAACGGTGGAAAGAGTAAGTAAAGCGTAATTATTTATGTGTATCTTTCCCCAACAATTGCCCCCCCCCACTCCATTCCAGTGAGCAGCCGTTGGATGCTATTAAGGAATATTTCGGAGCCAAGGTGGCCATATACTTTGCATGGCTGGGATTTTATACCGATATGTTAATACCAATTAGTATAGCTGGAATTTTTCAGTTTCTCTACGGTTTCATAACATGGAGTTCGGATCCGATAAGGTTTGAGATCTATTCTAAAATTTTGTGATAAATGAAGAAAAAACTATTTATATTTTAGTCAAGAAATTTGTAATGCAAACCAGACAACGTTGATGTGTCCCCAATGTGATAGGAACTGTGATTATTGGGAACTAAAGGATACCTGCGGTGCTTCCAAGATGAATTATTTGATCGACAATAATATGACAGTGGCTTTTGCATTTCTAATTGCAATTTGGGGTAAGTGGGATGTGAGTTGTTGAAAGGGTTTCTTATACCCTCCACCATGTGGCTACAGAGGGTATATATCATTTCATACGGCCAAAACGTGCCTCATCGAAATAAGGAAATACAGGATGTTTGGAGTCGATCTGGCGATATCCTTCTGTCTGGCTGGTGCGCAATATAAATATCTAAGGGAGTATCCGATTTGGTCCAAACTCAGCACATCGTAATATTATTATCAAACTTATATCGAGTTCGGAGATGGGCAATATCGGTCCACTGCTTGTGGTACCTCCCCCACAAAAGCTCGAAATTTTCAAAAACAAAAGTTACTGCTCAGAAGGAGAAAAGCTCCAACTTTGCAAATAATAATATTTGTGTCAGTGCTAGGTCAGGTGCGAAAATTGTCCACTCCAAGCCAAGTACCTCCTCCCAAAAAGGGCCAAATTATGAATAATTACAACTCTTAAAAAAAGTGATGTAAGAGTCCGATTGTCTTCAAATTACACACATCGCAATATTTTTGCTAACCCAAGGTCTGGTGTGAAGATGAAATATATCTGTCCACTCCGTCTTTTCACCTCCCCCACAAAGGGTCAGAATGTTGAATATCCATGAAGCTCATAAAAAGCGAAATCAACATCCGATTCCATTCCAGACTTGGTGCATCTGAATATTTCTATTAACACAGGATCTGTTTAAGAAAACGGTAGAGATCGAAGCATTCCTTCTGGTACCTCCTCCGCAAGGGTCAAAGTTTTGAATAGCCGTAACATTTAAAAAATCCGAAATAAGCATAAATTTCTCTTTGTATTTCGCACATCCCACTATTTCCACTAACAAATGATCCGTTGTGAAGATGGGATATATCGGTCCACTCCTTCTGGTACCTCCCCCAAAAAAAGCTCAAAATTTTCAATATCCATGAAGCTCAAAAAAACCAGCAATTAACATCCGATTCCACTCAGACTTAGCACATCTCAATATTTCCATCAACATAAGATCTGTTATAAAGATGATAGAGAGCGGACCATTCATTGTCGTACCTCTCGGGTCAAAATTTAGAATCCGCAAAACGATTTTAATATCCGAAATAAGCTTTAAGTTCTCTTCATATTTCACACATGTCATTATTTCTACTAACACTCGATCTGATGAGAAGATGGGATATAACGGTCCGCTCCTTCTGGTACCTTCTCCCCAAAGGGTCAAATTTTTGAATATCCATGAAGCTCATTAAAGCGAAATTAAGATCCGATTCCATTCAGATTTCGTATTTCTCAATATTTTCATCAACTCAAGATCTGTTATAAAGATGATAGAGAGCCGACCATTCATTCTCGTACCTCCCACACAAAGGGTCAAAGTTTTGAATAATATTGGCCCATTCCTTCGGAACCTACTCTATAGAGGGTTAGCAATTTAAATAATAATAATAACAGATGTCGAAAAATATATAAATAATTGAACATTCCTGAGGGTATACATCTGTCGGAAAAACCGACGGATACTTTTTAACTTGTTTATACCCTACACCACAAAGTGGTCAGGGTATTATGTCTTTGTGATCTGCATAGAATCACTTTCTGAGTTGATTTATGCATGTTAGTCCGTCTGTCCGTCCGTCCGTCTGTCCATGTATTCTTGTGAACAAAATGCAGGTCGCATTTATTATCCGATTCAGATGAAATTTTCCAAACAACATTTGTTTGGCCCAAGGACGAACCCTATTGAAATTGGAGATAATCGGTAAAAATTCAGATATATCTCCCATATATATCTTCGTCCGATTTGACTTTTATTGTGCACAAACGTGTTATATCAGCCCGAATGGTATGGAATTTTGCACATACAACCAAATTAAGCCTGAAAGTAAATATGCCGAATTTGATCGAAATCGGTTCAGATGTAGCTATAGCTCCCATATGTATTGTTCATCCGATTTGTTATTTTTGTCCTCCGCAGCCGTAATATGCACTCTGTAACAACAATATTTAGGGAAATATATCAAATGCAGCTCAGAAATATCTTTGCCAAATTTTATCGAGTTCGTTTCGGATTTGGATATAGCTCCCATATATAACTTCGTCCGATTTACTTATTATTGTGCACCAAACGTCTAATATTTGTCCAAATGGGATGGAATTTGGCACATACGACCGAATCGAGTCTATAAGGTAGTATGCCAAATTTGGTGAAGATCGATTCAGATATATATATAGCTCCCATATATATTGTTCATCTGATTTCTTGTATTTGTTACCCACAGTCGTAATATGCTCTCTGTAACAACAATATTTGGGGAAATATATCAAATGCCACCTTTGCCAAATTTTATCGAGTTCGGTTCAGATTTGGATATAGCTCCCATATATATCTTTTTCTGATTTCAAATTAATTTTGCACCAAATGGGCAATACAAGTCCGAATTTAAAAGATACAAATGCTTCGGCATATTTAGACCTTTGAATTTTAAATTATAATTATAATTATAGGGTGTATGATTGAATTCTCCCATAAAAACTTTTAATTTTTATGTGGAGCTCAACTAAATTAGCAAAGTGGTTTAGGGTATCATAAAATCGGCCCGACTTTAGGACTTTCTTTACTGGTTTTCATTTTTCTTTTCATTATTTTTTCCAGCTGTTGTTTTCTTGGAACTTTGGAAAAGATATTCGGCATATCTAATACACTCTTGGGGCCTCACTGGTTACACCCATGAGGTGGAACACCCGAGGCCACAGTATTTGGAAAAGTTACGGAAAAACAAAAAACTAGCCGATAAAGTCAAAGATAAAAGTGGACAATATCAGTTTGAACCGGAAATTCCATTTTGGTCCGTCAAGTTTTCGGCAAGTTTGGCCAGTTACAGTGTGGCCCTGCTGTCGGTGAGAATTTAAGTTAAGATTTTTATGGCTTGATTTTGATATAAATTGTTTTCTCCATTACAGATCTGCGTTTCAATTATAGCCATTTTGTCCATGATCATATATCGCATGGCCCAAAAAGCTTCTCACAGTGTTTTGGGTGACGAGAACTCCACCACATATAAGGTGATGACCCAACCCATGACGGCCGGTTTCATCGATTTGAGTATTATCACAATCCTGCACTATGCCTATAGTTATCTGGCCGAGATACTTACCAACCGGGAATATTGTCGCACCCAAACGGAATACGATAATAGTCTAACGATAAAAATTTACATCTTCCAATTTGTCAACTATTACTTCTCCCTTTTCCACATAGCGTTTTTGAAAGGCAAATTTGTCGGATATCCCATGAAATACAATCGCATATTTGGTTTTCGCCAGCAAGAATGTAATCCCGGTGGATGTTTAATGGAATTGTGTATTCAATTGGTCATTATAACGGTGGGCAAACAACTTCTAAATGCTGTGATTGAAAATCTTTTGCCATTTTTGAAGAAAAAATGGAAAGAGTTGCGATCGAATGTGGGTGGAGGAAAAGCAGAGAGAATGTGGGGTATGGTGGCAAACGGTCAATGGTTCGAGGATTATCCACTGCAGCCGTGGACAAGTCGTGTATTATTTGCGGAATATCTCGAAATGGGTGAGTGAAAGTGATAAGACATCGATCGATCGGGGAAAATATTATTTGCATCGAAATTTTGAGGGAGGGAATTTTGAAATTTTAAGTGGGGATCATTCTGGCCCGAAAATGTCGGGTGTCTGATAATGCTGATTTTTAGGAAACTTTTGCTAGAACGGTACTTGACGATCCAGTAGGATTGGAATTCTGTGTTCAATTCCATTTTTCTTAAGTGCTACACGACTCATATTTAGCCTTGCAGAATAGAATGATAAATTTATTTGTATATTCTCCATCTACTTATAAATGTGTTTCCTTTTTTCCAGTAATGCAATATGGTTTCATTACCCTCTTTGGTGTTGCATTCCCCTTGGCCTTTCCGCTGGCGCTGATAAACAATGCCATAGAAATACGAACCGATGCTGGGAAAATGTTGAAATTCATAAGACGTCCAGTTGCTCAAAGAGCCAGTGATATTGGAGTATGGTTCAGTATTATGACGGTGATAACCCGACTCGCTGTGGCCACATGTGCCATGATTATTGCCTTCTCGACAAACCTCATTCCAAAGCTAGTCTACAAATATGCCACCCATGATGATGAACTGCAGGGTTATCTCAATTTTACATTGGCCTATTTTAATACTAGTGATTTTCGTGTACCACCGAATTTAGGTGAATCACGGTATGGCAATGTCACACAGTGCCGTTATGCGGAATTTCGAAATCCACCGTGGCATGAATTTCCCTATAAGAGGCCAATTATCTATTGGAAGATATTGATGGCTCGTTTGGCTTTTATTGTCATTTTTCAGGTGAGATGAGATAATTAGAAATTGAATTTCGATTCGAAATTGTTATTATTATTTTTTTCTTTTTCAGAATGTCATTGGCGGTCTTCAGACCATCATTGCCTGGGCCATACCCGATGTCCCAACAAAGTTATTGAAACGCATTAAACGCGAAAACTTCCTATTGCGTGAATATATTATCGAATGTGAAAAGCGACAAGTAATCGATAAACAGGTTGATAAAATCATTTCATGGGTGAACCAAATCGAAGATGAATCGGATATTGCTCTCAGTGACAGTTCTGGTGATAGCTCAACAGATAAAGAGGGCATTGAGGAGACAAGTTTATAATTTGTGATATAAATAAGAACTCGATTTTAAGTGCTTTAATATATCTCCAATAAAAGTCTGCAAAAACGGTGTTAAGTTTGACCTGTTGAGCCTTTTTTACAGTTCATAAAATTAAATTCTAAGCAAAATGTTAGGTTTCTAAATCCCTAAGACCAAAAAAATCGTAATATACCGGAATTGTGCAGAAATTTGGACGTACATTGAGGAAAAATGGAGGGTGTCAATATTCGATGTTTTTCGTCGAATTAAACAAAATATGCTAAAATCGACAGATGCTATTACATTCAAATTTCGTCTTCTTAGCTCTAATAGTGAAATATTTAATACGTATTTTTATACCCTCCACTATAGTATGGAGGTTATATTAAGTTTGTCATTCCGTTTGTAACACCTCGAAATATACATTTTAGACCCCACAAGGTATATATATTATTATCAATGCCCGTCCGTCTATCCGTCTGTGCGTCTGTGGAAATCACTCAAGCTTCCGAACGAAATGAAGTAAGTTGATAAAAATTTACTCAAATGTGTATCATGTCTGCAGGACTTTTGGTATTGAAAATGGGCTTTGTAGGTCCACGTCATCGTATAGCCCCATATAACTGTACCCCTCGATATTCGGTATTTTGATGATTTTAGCGACATTATTTACCGGAATTGTTTCAAATTTGGTATTTAAAGTTCTTAATGGATACTACAGCCTCAGACAGGGATTGGGCCATGCACGTCTTCGTATAGCCCCCATATAACGGTATCCCCGATATTCGGTATTTGGATGATTTTAGCGACATTTTTTACCTGAATTATTTCAAATTTTGTATCTAAAGTTCGTAATAGATACTACAGCCTATGCCAGAAAATTGTCCGTGCAGGTCCACGTATTGTACCCCCCTATATTCGGTATTTTATTTATTTTAGCTACATTATAAACATATTTTTTTCAAGTTAGGCATTTGAATATTATAATAGCTTATGACAAAATTTGCCTATGCAGGTCCACGTCGTCGTATAGACCGGCTACATTCGGTATTTTTAAGATTTTAACAGAATTTTTAATGGATTTTATTTTTTTGAAAATTGCCAAATATGTACCAAATGGTGGAGAGTATTCAAAGTTCGGCCCAGCCGAACTTACAACTTTTTTACTTTTTATACCCTCCACCATACTATGGAGGGTATATTAATTTTGTCATTCCGTTTGTAACTCCTCGAAATACTCATGTCAGACCCAACAAAGTATATATATTCTTGATCAGCGTAAAATTCTAAGACGATTTAGCCATGTCCGTCGGTCTGTCTGTCTGTCTGTCTGTTGTAATCACGCTATCTTTCGAACAAATTGAGATAGAAGGCTAAAATTTTGCACACATGTATATTTTGCCAGTAGGCGGGTTAAGTTCGTAAATGGGCCATGTAGGTCCAAGTTATCATATAGCCCCCATATAACTGTACCTCCCGATATTCAGTATTTTGATGATTTTAGCGACATTATTCACCGGGATTGTTTCAAATTTGGCATTTGAAGTTCGTAATGACTACTACAGCCTAAAACAGAAAATTATCTGTGCAGGTCCACGTCTTCGTGTAGCCCCCATATAACGGTACCCCCCGATATTCGGTATTTTGATGATTTTAGCGACATTCTTTACTGGAATCGTTTAAAATTTGGTATTTGAAGTTCGTAATGGATACTACATCCTAAGTGAAAAAATGAGCCATGTAGGTCCACGTCTTCATATAGCTCCCATATAAGGTTACCCCCCGATATTCGGTATTTTGATGATTTAAGCGACATTATTTAGCGAAATCGTTCCAAATTTGGTATTTGAAGTTCGTAATGGATACTACGGCCTAAGACAAAAAATTTTCTGTGCAGGTCCACGTCTTCATATAGCCCCATATACCGTACCCCCCGATATTCGGTATTTTGATGATTTTAGCGACATTATTTATCGGGATTGTTTCAAATTTCGCATGTGAAGTTCGTAATGAATACTTCAGCCCATGCCAGAAAATTGTCTGTGCAGGTCCACGTCTTCGAATAGCCCCCATATAACGGTACCCCCCCATATTCGGTATTTTAATGATTTTAGCTACATTATAAACAGATGTTTCTTCAAGTTTCACATTTAAATTATTGTAATAACTTATGACAAAAGTTGCCTATGCAGGCCCACGTCGTCGTATAAGTACTCTGTATTCTTAAGATTTTAACAGAATTTTTAACGGATTTTATTTTTTGGAAATTGCCAAATTTGTACCAAATGGTGGAGGGTATTAAGTTCGGCCCGGCCGAACTTACAGCTTTTTTACTTGTTAGTATTATATTAGTATTATATATGTAGTACGCTTTAGTTGTTATTTTCATATCCGGCATATTGTCTTATAATCTCTAAAAAAGCAATAATATAACTACGAATCCAAATTTTAAGTACATCTTGGTATTAAGTATTATTTCTACAAATGTTTATACGAACTAAAGCTTCCCTTCACTCTTCATATATTTATGTTTTAAACAAGTAAAACGGGGTTTAAGTTCGGCTGGGCCGAAATTTTTATATCCTCCACCTCTATGTTTATGAAAGTAAAATGAAATAATGCGTAGAATATGTTAATATCAATCCGTTTTAATTAAAAAGTAAAAATAACCCAAATAGCGAAACCCATATTAACATTTAATAAAAAAATAGGGAGGTACCGTTATATGGGGCTATTCCAATTAGTGGACCTGAATCGAACATTTTTTGCCAAGAGAGAATAGACCTACCAAAAACCCAAAATGTGAAGTTCTAGCTGATTTGGTTGGAAATTGTGGCGGCAAACTTTCATAATATCGAAAATCTGGAGTTACCTATACCTAAATGTAGACCAAAATTGCCCATTTTTAATACCAATCAGTCTGCATATAATGTAGAACTTTGTACAAAATTTCAAAGGTGTAATTAAATATTGTGGACTGATTGACGCAATTTCAATGGACAGACAGACGGGTATAACAAAATCGCCTTATTACTTTATTTTTTACTTTATTATTAGGAATATAATTATTTTATTTATTAGGAATATAATTATGTAACACTGCGAAATATTGATACCCGACATAGGAGGCTATATTCGGATCATCCTATCTCGCCGAGCTGAGTCGTTCTAGCTATGTATGTCCGTCTGTCCAAGTTATATTGTAATCACGCTACAGTCGCAATTATGGACAGATACTTACGAAATTGAGAATGTAGGTGGGGTTAAGGTCAGAATTGATTTTGGAGATTATCGCAAAATCTTTAGCGATTGCAATTGACCAAAAACAGAAAAAAATACGATATTTTGCAGTTGCCCGCAATTATAGAACAATCGACGCGGAATTTAGCATGGGACTGAGCAGAAGCCTAACATTTTGTTTGATCATCGGACTGTATTTGGCGGGTAAAAAAGGTAAAAAAAATAAGTAAGCAAATTTGACTAAAACAACCAAAAAACCTTAAATCAGTCGGTATAATTAGATAGGACTTATGCCAAAACATGAAACTGTATCGATCATTTTCAATACCAAAAGCCATGCAGATCTAAAATACGTCTGAATAAAATTTATTTTGATCTACTTTATTTCTCTCGGAAGCTAGAGTGATTTCCAGAGACGAACGAACATCGCTGAATCGACAGAGAATTTTTATACCCTACACCACAAGGTGGTCAGGGTATTATGTCTTTGTGCATTTGTTTGTAACAGGCAAAAGGAAACGAGATAGACCCATAGTTACTTTTGAGGATCTCCATAGAATCATTTTCTGAGTTGATTTATGCATGTCAGTCCGTCTGTCCATGTATTCTTGTGAACAAAATGCAGGTCGCATTTATTATCCGATTGAGATGAAATTTTCAAAACAACATTTGTTTGGCCCAAGGACGAACCCTATTGAAATTGGAGATAATGGACATAGCTTTGCTAAATCGAGATCGGTTCAGATTTGGGTATAGCTCCCATATATAACTTCGTCCGATTTACGTTTATTATGCACCAAACGTCTAATATTTGCCCAAATGGGATGGAATTTTTCACATACGACCGAATTGAGTCTAGAAGTTAGTATGCCAAATTTGGTGAAGAGCGGTTCAAATATAGCTATAGCTCCCATATATATTGTTCATCCGATTTGTTGTATTTGTTACCCACAGACGTAATATGCACTCCGTAACAACGATATTCAGGAAAATATATCAAATACAGCTCAGATTGCCAAATTTTATCGAAATCGGTTCAGATTTGGATATTGCTCCCATATATATCTATATCCGATTTCAAATAGGCAATACAAGTCCGAATTTAAAAGATACAAATGCTTCGGCACATTTAGACCTTTCAACTTTAAATTATAACTATAATCATAGCGTGTATGATTGAATTCTCCCATAAAAACTTTTAATTGTTATGTGGAGTCTTATAATTATAAATTATTTTTTAGATCACTGGTAATGCGGAGGTAAAGGGTATTACAACATTACAGTAGAATTACTTAACAAAATTGGCACAATGAGCTTTTCTTAAAGTGTTCCGCTTTTACTAAAATGGTTATTTTATTTGGGTGGTATCATTGATAAGCCTCCTTTAAATATTTATATTTGCGAATTTTATTGTTTTGGTTAGAATCAACATTCAAGTTATGTTTACAGGTTAATTCAATATATAATATCGTTTTTTCCCCCAAGCGTATGACGTATACGTAGAGGAATGAAACAATTGAAAACTACTGAATTTAGTATACGTTAACATGCTTTAAGATTAGCCATCCGTCCGTTCGAGGTGCACCTGTACCTTTCAAAAAAAATTTCTCTATTTTAACTAGAGTTGCGAATCGCTCCGACTTTATCTAGTGGTCTAAATATTTAATATGTGAACAAAAAAATAACTTATACAAATATCACTCCATTTAAACTCATATCTAGAGCTTTATGCATTTATTGCTTGCCATCACATTTCTCCATATCAGATTGGTTGCAGATAGCAATTGCTTGCACAGTTGTTTCAGTTAATAACTAAACGTAAACGAAATAGGACGAATATACGCAAGTGAAAGTTATGGGCCATTATACGAACGGTGTAGCGATGAAATCAAAAAATTTATTGGACTTAACGGCCGAAGAGAAGCAAGCATTCTTGGACTCATTTGATATTGTTCTATCCGATTGTGATGGTATGTAATATATATAAAATAAAAATAAGTCCAAAATACCATCAATACTCGGTATTTGAATTTCGAAATATAAAATACACCACATCTCGGGCTTGTCATATAGAAGTTTCATATTCATACACAATTTGCAATTACCAGAACATATTATAAAAACCAAGTAAGCCAAGGCTATATGTTCGAAGTCCCCTTATATCCAAATCCATTTCATTTTTGAAATAATGTCAGAGAGAGAGAGAAAGAGAAATCCCCTAACCCTACCCCCATGCCAAATTTCGTGAGGATCGGATGATAATTGCGGCATGCATATAACACCATCAAAACGTAGTGTTGAAGGTGTAAAATTTAGAAAATTCAAAATTGTAAGTCAAATTGAAAAAATCGCATGCGATAAAAAATATGACAAAAATTAAAAAAAAATGGAACAAAAGATATTTACTTTTTTAATGGTATATTTTCCGCGATGTTCTTAGATTTTATCCTTTTCTGGCAAGAGACCATTCCAAATTGATGGGAATTGTGAAAATCGGCCATGCGATTCTTGATTTATAAGCAGAATAAATAAGATCAATTCTTTTACACATATATTGTGCCTATTTTGCTATATATCCGATTACTTGGCTATTAGTATCACTATAATGGTCAGAAGTGATTTTTCAATGCATTCGTGATTTGGCTGGGATTAAACAAAATTCGCGGTTTAGTGGAAATTCTCCTATTTTCTTACACAAAAGTTAGGGTCTATTTTACCCGCTGATCATTGTCCGATGGCCGCCCAAATTGGAAGGTTTCTGCCCAGTCCTAAACTCTAACTCCATGCAATTTTTCGCGTCGATTGTAATTGTAGCCTTAATATTATGCGACCCTAAATATTATGCGATCATCTCCAAAAACAATAGGGTTCTCTTCTGACTCTAACTCTAACACCACCTTCATTTTCAATTTCGTGATGATCGGGTCATAATTGCGACCTGTAGCGTGATCACAAATTAACATGGACAGACGGACGGACATATACATATATCTAGATCGACTCAGCTCGCCAAGATAGAAAGATCCATATATTCTTTATTATGTGGGAAACCAATATTTCGAGGTGTTACATAATTTTTGGCCCCATCAAACTTATAATACCCCCAACACATAGTGTTGCAGGGTATAAAAAAAAACACATTTTAAGGTTAAAACCGTTTGAATTTAAAAAAATGGCCAAAAAGTCTTAGGACAAAAAAGTAGCTGCCCGACCGAACTTTTAATACCTTCCACCATTTGGAAAGAATTGCAAAACTTAAAATGAATAAAAAATACCGAATATTGGGTGGTACAGTTATATGGGGCCTATTTGATACCGTTGGCCTGTATACCCAAGTATCTGTCTGAGAACTCCAAATAACTAATTTGATATAAATCCGTTAAAAAAGTGGCTAAAATTGGAAAAATGTCAAATATCCGAAGGTTCCTTTATATGAAGGATATACGGACCCTCATAGGTTTTTTTCTCTCATAGGAAGCTGTACCCATTAGGAACTTCAAATACCAAATTTGAAACAATACCGCTGAAAATGTGACAAAAATCACCAATCTCCGACTAAGTAAATACTTAGGTTTGGAGAAATGGTCAACGGTATCCCGTATATTAATTCTTAAACTGATATAGTTATTATTTTGGAAATATAACAATTTTAGATAAGTCCAGAAAAGTGGACGATTATGTCACTCCTACTTTACCCTTTTGTATTTGAGGAATCAGTAGAGCTAGAACTCTTACATTTGGAATGGAAACCAAAGGGTTTTTGGAAAGTCGCACTATGAGTGTACGGAAAGCACTAAAATGTACTTCATTTGATACCATTTCGTATCATCTGAACGGTTAGAGCTAAAAACTTGAAAGTTGAAATGGCATTCAATGTTGAGGAGTAGAGTCGATGTAAGGAGGTAGTGTTGAAAGTGTGTTTTCATATATACGAGAAGTACCTAACGGTACTAAATTTAGTATAATTTAAATTTGGAGGAAGAGATGGAGGTGGAATCCTGAAATTGGCGGAGTGTAGGATTGGGGTACGGAAGAAATTCGAAATTCGTACCTTTGGGCAGGAAATCTACTAAATTTAGTACAATTTCGATTTGGCTGAACCGATAGAGCTGGAATTGTGAAATTTGGAAATAAGATTACTATTGCATTCTAGGACTGAGGAATACAGGTAGTTTTGGATTTTTTATGTGTACTAAATGGTACTAAATTTGGTACAATTTAAATTTTGGGAGAACCGATAAAGTGGAATCCTTAAATTTTAATATAAGATTTCTCTTGGACTGTTTGACGTAGGTTATTATGAAAATTTGTACTTAAATGTACCATATGGTACTAAATTTGGTACAATTTGAATTTTGGTGGTGGTATCCTGGCAATTAGAAATAAGATTACGGTCGGAGTTTAGGATTGGGATATGTACGTTGTTTTGGAAATTTGTATTTATATGTAATAAAATGTACTACATTTAGTACAACTTGGCCTTTGGTGAACCGAAAGAGCTAGAATCCTAAAAATTGGAGTTAAGATTACTGTGGGAGTGTAGGATTGGGATATGTAGGTAGTTTTTGGAATTTTATACCGCATTAAATGGTACTAAATTTGAAACAATTTGTACTATGGAGAACCGATAGGGATGGAATCCTGAAATTTAGAATTGGAGTTACTGTCGGAGTGTAAGAAGCTTTGGAAATTCTTACTTATGTGTACTAAATAGTACTAAATTTGGATCAATTAGGATTTGTGTTAACCGATAGTGCTGGAATCCTGATATTAGGAAATACGATGTCTATTGGATAGTATGATGTAAATTTTTATGGAAATGTGTACTTATATGTACTAATTGAGGTATGGAGGGAGTTTTGGAAATTTGGAGTGTAGGATTGGGGTAGGTAAGAAATTTTCGGAAATGTGTACTTAGGTGGTTTTACTGTACTTTAGTACAATTTGGGTTGGTGCGAACCGGCTAAAACCTTGAAATTTGGAAATAATATTATGGTTGGAGCGTAGGATGTAGGAACTTTTAGAAATTCGTACTTATTTGTACTAAATGATACTTTATTTTGTACAATTTAATATTTAGTAAACAGACCGAGGTTGAAATCTGAAATTTGGTATTAGGATAACTGTCCATGTGAAGCCTGGCAATATGGTGGAGTTTTTGGAAATTTTAAGAAAAATACTGAATAGTACTACATTTGTGATAGAGCTACAATTCTCAATTTTATAGCCTCCACCATACATAATAGTATGGAGGGTATATTAAGTTTATCATTCCGTTTGTAAATCATCAAAATAATTATTTCAGACATAACAAAGTATTTATATTCTTGATCAGAGTAAAATTCTAAGACGATTTAGCCGTGTGCGTCCGTCCGTCTGTTGTAATCACGCTAGAGTCAATTCGAATTAAGATAGGATGCTAAAATTTTGCACAGATCAGTCTTTCGTCAGTCAGGTCAAATTCAAAGATGGACTATACGGTACAAGATATCGTATAGCCCCCATACAACGGTACCCCCAGATATTCGGTATGTCGATTATTTTAGCTACATTTTTCAAAGGAATTGTCTCAAAATCCACGCCAGGAGTTCCTTCTGAGTACTTTACCTCCTGGAATATAATTTTCTATATGGGTCCACGTATATCTCCCATATAACGGTACCTCCCGATATTCGATATTTTCATGATTTTAACCACATTTTTCAATGGAATTGTCTCAAAATCCACGCTAGGAGTTCCTTCTGAGTACTTCAACTCCTGAAAGACAATTGTCTATAGTGGTCCATGATATCGAATAGCCCCCATACAACGGTACCACCTGATATTCGGTATTTTGATGATTTTAGCGACATTTTTGACCGGAATTGTTTCAAATTTCGTTTTTTTTTTTGGAAGTGTTTTTGGAATTATGAACCATAATTGTACGAAAAACATTAAATAGTACTAAATTAGGTATTGGGTTAAGCCATAGAGCTGAAATCCTGAAATATCCCGACCCTCACGAACTTTTGCACAGATTAAGGGTTTGTGTCGGAGTAGACGTATATTGTTAGAGGAGATGAATGAAAATATTTAGGGAATGAAATGGACCAAAAACAGATTTTTTTCCTGATTATGCAGTCCCACTGTGGGTAACAATTATAGACCAATCGACGCGAAATTCTCCGTGGTGTTAAAGAGTCAAAAACATGGGATACATGAAATTATGCTTTGGAAAAAGAATTTTACAGGTCTTGGGTTTTAAGGAATACTTTTTGTAAAACATTAAGGCATGTGGGATATTAGTAACTAACTATTGTATTATTACTCATATCTTTGTATCTAGGTGTGTTGTGGACCCTTTCAGCGCCCATTGCAAATTCCGGTGAAGCCATAAATCTATTGAAAGCGGCAGGAAAATCCTTTAAATTTGTGTCCAATAATGATGGTATCCGAACCGATGAAGATTACATAGAGAAGGTTAAAAAAATTGGAGCCAAAGATATAGAAGCGGTACAAATACTTGTCTTTTTTCAATTCTTCAACCTGCTTTACTAATCCCTCATATTTTCTCTCTTCACTAGAATGACTTTATTTTACCCTATAAAGCATTGGCCAGATTTATGAAAACCAAACACCCCGCTGAGACATGTTATTGTACTGGATCCGAGATATTTTCCAATTCACTTCGGAAGACTGGAGTCGAGGTTGTTAATGTGGTAAGTTGGTTAGAATTTTAATGCAAAATAAATATATGATATCGCATATCGTCTTTCCAGACACCCCGTCTTGACATCAAACCCGCAGAATTTCGTTATCTCAAGCCGATAAAAGAGGCCAAAATTTTCGTAGTTGACGTCCATGTTAATATGACATTGGCGGAGTTTGCTTTGATTCACCAATATTTGTTAAAGTAAGATTGTAGCGTTTACATTAATGCCGTCGATGATCGTGTGCCCATAATGGAGGATTTGGTCATTGTGGGCCCGGGGCTATTTACCAAGGCCATAACAGAATTGAGTAACAAAGATATGCAGGTGTTCGGTAAACCAAGTAAATTTTTTGCTGATTACATGTCCGAGGAATTTCAAATCAAAGATCGTAAAAGAGGTATTTTTGTGGGTGAAAATTTAGATGCTGATATATTGTTTGCTGCGCGGCATGGTTTCCAATCGCTGTTCGTTTTAAGTGGAACTCACAACAAGGAAGATATGGGCTTGCTGCCAGTAGAGAAACAACCAGATTATTACTGCAATAGTTTGGGAGACTTTGTAGAGTTTTTTGAAAGTTTGAAAAATGGAGATAAATAAACGTATATTTATACTCTACAGCACACAGACTTTGTGCAATTGTTTGTAACACGTAGAAGGAAGCGTTTCTTTTGAGGATCTTCATATAATCATTTTCAGTCGATTTATGCATTTATGCATCTCAGTCCGTCTCTCCATGAATTCTTGTGAACAAAATGCGGGTCGCATTTATTATCCGATTGAGATGAAATTTTTCAAACAATATTATTTTTTCTCATTCGTAATATGCTCCCCACAAGAATGATATTTGGTACCAGATATCTTATAGAGCTCGGAAAAAGCTTTGCCATGTTTGATCGAGATCGGCTAAGATCTGGATATAGCTCCCATATATATCTTCAATCGATTTCAGGTTAATTGTTCACCAAATGGCATATATCAGCCCAAAATGACTGAGTTTCTACACTTTTGACGGAATTCAGAATTATAATATTGAAGTGTATATTTTGAAATATTTTTTCACCTTATAACACAGGTTGGGTTTATTATATACAAATTGCAATTATCGTCCGATTCTCACGAAAATTTGCACAAGTTTTCAATGATGTCCGCATTATATTTAGGGGTTGAAATAGACCAAGAACTAAAAATGTTCTTGATTTTGCAGCCTTTATAACGGCCACAAATAGAAACCAAAGAACACGAAATCTCGCATGAAGTTAGAGTTTTGGACAGCGGGTAGAATGGACCAATATTTTTGTGTGAAAAAGTATCAACATTTCCATTCCACCGAAACGCTGAGAATAAGTTACAGGCGAAAACCCAAATACATAAATGGCGAACTTCTGGCTTTTTATACCCTCCACCTTGGAAAGGAGGGTATATCAACATTGTCATTCCGTTTGTAACATATCTAAATATTCGTCGTAGACCCCATAATGTATATCTATTCATAATCAGCATAAAATTCTAAGTCGATTTAACGCTGACCGTCTGTCTGTCTGTCCGTCTGTCTTTTAAAATCACGATACAGACCACATTGTTTGACGTAGAGCGTCAAAATTTTGCAGAATAATTTGTATTGCGTCTAGGATGGTTGGTATTGAAAATGACATATATCGGGCCATGTTTTGGTATAGTCCCCATATAACGGTACCTCCCAAAATTCGGTATTTTGATGATTTTTGCCGCATTTTTTCATGGATTTGTCTATAAAGTGATATTTGTTGGTCATAGTGGGTTCTAGCTCCGGTGGCGAAACATTGCATGTATGGTACATGATTTGGTATAGCCCCCATATGACGGCACCTCCCGATATTCGGTATTTTTATGATTTTTGCCACATTTTTTCACGGATTTGTCTGAGAATTGGTATTTGTAGGTCATAATGGGTCCTTGTTCGTGTGGCGAAACATTGTATGTATAGGTCTACGCTTTGGTATAGCCCCTATATAACGCTATCTGCCGATTTTCGATATTTTGATGGTTTTTGTCACATTTCTTCACGGATTTGTTTGGTCATAATAGGTTCTAGCTTCGTTTTTTGATGATTTTTGCCGCATTTTCTCACCAATATGTCTATAAATTGGTATTTGTGGGTCATAATTGGTTCTAATGTTTCCATTACCCTAAGGTGGAGGGTATTAAAAGTTCGGCCCGGCCGAACTTAATGTTTTTTTAGTTGTTTATACTGATTTCGTTGAAGAATTTAGGTAAATATCGTAAACAAGCAAATCAAATAGACGAGTCTGAATTTGGAGATACAGAGGGGCGTCTTACATTTGGAGATGATCGCAAAAAACAGAAACATTTTCCTGATCACACAATTGAAACCAATTGACACGGAATTTTGCATGAGAAGAGAGTTAAGTATAGGAAATACGATTATATTTAGCTGTAAATGGACCACAACAACTAACAGTACGACGGAGTACGTGAATATTGAACAAATGTCCCTGTTAAAAAAGCTAAGGGTAATATCTGGGCAGCGAAATCTTCTAAAATGGATGTGGACATAAGGGGTCTTCTAACACACTGGAATGTTTTAGTGTATCACATGGTCGGCCCCGCGGGACTATAGCCTTTGCTTACTTGTTTTTAATATAATCCTACTCGAAGTGATATCATGCACTCTATAGCAATCTTATTTGGTATAAAAGATAAAAATATGTGCGCCAAATTTATTGAAAATCGATTCAGAATTGGATATGCCTCCACTAGTTCCTCCTGAAACCAATCTTAACTGCTCTAAAGCCAGATGTTGATAAGTGGTATGATCTACTTCAAATAAATTCTTTTGTTACGGGAGCACTACTTGTATAGGTGTAGATGTAGGGTATCATACAGTCCGACTTTTGTCTTTTCCTTACTGGTTTTAACAATGACATTTGCCTTAAAAATGTATTTTGTTAATACTCGATACTTAATTCATTAGTAGGATGTTCTTACATATATTATTGCCAACAAAAATTGGTAAAATATAAATGCTTATAATTATATAAAAAATTTTTTCTTCCTACCGATAGCAACTAACTTTAATTTAGACTTTTCATTCATAATTTAGAATTTTTATTTTTCCTTCTTTATACCCTTCCCCATGCTCTTCGAAATATTCATGTAAGACCCAACAAAGTATATATATATTCTTGATCACGCTATCTTTGAAACGAATCGAGATAGATGGCTAAAATTTTGCACACATGTGTATTTTGCCAGTAGGCTGGTTAAGTTCGTAAATGTGTCATGTTGGTCCACGTTTTCGTATAGCCCCCACATAACGATACCTTTCGATATGCGGTATTTTGATAATTTTAGCAAAATTATTAACCGGAATTGTTTCAAATTTCGAAAACTACAGCCTATGACAAGAAATTACTTATGCAGGTCCACGTCTTCGTATAGATCCATATAACGGTTTTTATTTGAGCGGTATTTTCGACGAAAAAATTTCAAATTTTTCAAGTTCCTTCCTTAAAAATTCACGTTTAGTCTCAGATATTATTTTCTGGAAGCCTTACAAAAAATCATGCTGTGATTTTTATCCTTTTTGCTGTTATTACATTTAATTACTAATCTGAGTAGGGTAAGAAAACATCTCGATCTCATAATCATTCTCTTGAGTGGGAAAAATTTGTAATCGTGCTTGCTCATATTTTTGCAAATGTGGTTTCTTTGCAATATTGCAAATTCTGCGATTAGTAGTCCAAAGAGTTTCAAGCGTTGCAGATTTAATCTTACGGAGGTTTCGGTGTCGTTTTGTGGTTCATTATTAGTTCTAGAGGTAAACTTTCCGTAAAAAATATATAATAAATAGGATCAAAAGGATTTGATAGAGATTTACTGTTGATTGAGAAAAATATCAAAATTCCTAGTGAAAGTGAAATAAAAATTGAAAGGAACAAAATGCAACGTCCTTGAATAAGCCAGAAAATTTCACGAATGCGAAACTGAATTTGTGGATTGAGGAGGGAAATTGATAAGGATAAGATTACCTTTTCACTCCCACTACTTATTATTCTTGTCATAAAATGTTCTGTTTGTAATTTCCGAGCAAGTAAAAATTTCCTGGTATAAAGCGTAAGGTATGTTTCACATCTATTTAGGGCTAAAAAAATAAACTTTTATTTTTTTATAATCAATTTAAACCACATGTCTAGAAATGTGATATAAATATAAATAAAATAAATCTCGAACGTATTTGACATACATTTTTTCACAGTTGTCTTTAATGACACATTTACCTAATAGATCAATGCGCCTAAACGTATACCTCAAAACAATACTTTTTATTATGTATTTATGCATTTGTTTGTAACAGGCAAAAGGAAACGAGATAGACCCATAATTCCTTTTGATGATCTGCATAGAATCACAGTCTGAGTCGATTTATGCATGTCCGTCCGTCCGTCTATCTGTCCGTCCGTCTGTCCATGTATTTTTGTAAACAAAGTACAGTTCGCATTTATTGCCCTATCCAGACGAAATTTTGCACAAATTGTTTGGCCCAAGGACGAACCCTATTGAAATTGGAGATAATCGGTCAAAATTTAGATATAGCTCCCATATATATCTTCGTCCAATTTGTCTTTTATAGTATGAAATTCTGCACATACAACCAAATTAGGCCTGAAAATAAGTATGCCAAATTTGATCGAAATCGGTTCAGATATAGCTATAGCTCCCATATATATTGTTCATCCGATTTGTTATTTTTGTCCTCCGCAGCCGTAATATGCACTGTGTAACAACAATATTTGGGGCAATATATCAAATACAGCTCAGAAATACATTTGCTAAATTTTATCGAGATCGGTTCAGCTTTGGATATAGCTCCCATATAAAACTTCGTCCGATTTACTTTTTATTGTGCACCAAACGTCTAATATTTGCCAAAATGGAATGAAATTTGGCACTTACGACCGAATTGAGTCTAGAAGCTAGCATGTCAAATTTGGTGAAGATTGGTTCTGATATAGCTATAGCTCCCATATATACTGTTCATCCGATATGTTATATTTGTTACCCACAGCCGTAATGTGCACTCCGTAACAACGATATTCAGGGAAATATATCAAATACAGCTTAGAAATATCTTTGCCAAATTTTATCGAGATCGGTTCTGATTTGGATATAGCTCCCATATATATTTTTATCCGATTTCAAATTAATTTTGCACCAAATGGGCAATACAAGTCCGAATTTAAAAGATACAAATGCTTCGGCATATTTAGTCCTTTGAACCTTAAATTATAATTATAATCATGGTGTGTATGATTGAATTCTCACTTTCAATTGTTATGCGGAGCTCTACTAAATTAGCAAAGTGGTGTAGGGTATCATAAAGTCGGCTCCGCCCGTCTTTAAAACTTTCTTTACTTGTTTTAAATTTATTTAAATGACAAATTTAGGTAATAGATAAGGGCGCCTAAAAGTACAACTCGAAAAGTGATATATCACAACATTGAAGATACTTAAATAATCTGTGAATATCGAAGAGTAGTGAAATAACTGACTGAAATTGAATACTTTGTATTAGACAAACAAAATGAAACTTGGAACGAGAATCACTGATGGATTGCAGGATAGATTTACAAAAGGGTTTTTGGAAATTCGAAATTTTAGGGTTGCGAACAATTCTAAAAAATCTCCTAAACTTCTAAAAAGGTTCCATTTGGTATTATGTGAACGGATAGATCTAAGTGTACCAAATGGTAATACATTTGAAACAGTTTGGTTGAGGGTGAACGGATGGAGCTCAAATGTTGAAATTTTGTATTGGGGAACCTGTTGTGTACCATAAGTGTGTACCAAAAGTACTAAATAGTCCTATATTTGGGACAATTTTGTATTGGGTGAGCAGGGAGTGCTTGAAATCTGAAATTTGTATTGGGGTCGCTGTCCATGTGTGGCCTTGTCATATGAGGGTGGTTTCGGAAATGTGTACCACATTTGTACGAAAAGTACTAAGTTGTACTAAACTAGGTTTTAGGTGAAGGGATAGAGTTGGACTGCCGAAATTTTATATTCAGTTCTTTGTTGGTATCTGGAATTGAGATATGGAGGTGGTTTCGGAAATGTGCACTATATTTGTATTTGGTTGAAGGAATTGAGCAGAAATCCTTAAATTTGATATAAATGTCACTGTTGGTGTCTGTGATATGATGGTGGTTTTAGAAATGTGTGTTATAATTATACGAAAAGTACTAAATTTGGTATAGAGTGAATGTATAGAGCAGGAATTCCGAAATTTTATATTGAAGTCTATATTGGTATTTGGTTGTGGTTTTGCAAATGAGTACTATAATTTTTTGAAAAGTTCTAAATTGTACTAACTTTGGATCACTGCTGGTGTTGAGGATGGAGTGATGTTGATTGTTCTGGATATGAGTAAATTTGTTATTGGGCGATGATGTGGTGTAAATGTTAACAATTACAAAAAGCAGCCCAGATCGGAATTTGCAAAATTGCAGAGAATTGTATTGAAGGTCGGGCGGTCGAAGGTTTGCTCACAAAAAACAGAAACGTACGGACAGACGGACTAACATGCATATATCGACTCAGAAAATGGTTCTATGAAGATCCTCAGAAAATGATCCTATAAAGATCCTGCAATTTTTTTTATAACACGAGCTTTTGGATTTTCTATTTAAGTTAAATATATATTTTTTATATTTTCAGATAAACAATACATTTAAGACCCGGTGACATGGACGCCAACAGTCCGAAACACTGTTCTCTCGAGATGAAATCAAAATTTGCAGATATCTCTCCGCCGGCAACAAAGCAGAATTCAACACCAGAAAGAAAAAATGTGCGCGAGAGTCTTAAGGAAATTTTCAATGAATATTGTTCGAATACCTCGCTGCATGGCGTCAAATATTTCGGGCAAGAACGACCATGGAAGGAGATATGTTTTTGGTTGGGCATTTTCACTTTATCCTTTTATTTTAGTTCACAAACCATTCGAAAAGTCTATCAGAAATGGAATGATACTCCAGTTATTGTTACCTTTTCGGAACGTTCAACGCCCGTATCGGATATACCATTTCCAGCTATAACTATTTGTCCGGAAATAAGAGGGAGGGTACCTAAAGACGGTAGGTTTACACCAATTGAAAGTTTGAAATCGTAACATTAATATTATGTTCTCTGCTTTAGGCCCTAACTTCAGTATGTTGTTAAAAAATTTGACATTCGATTCGGAAATTCCGAAAAATCTAACTAATCGCCAACTTGGGGAATTTGTTACACTGCTGCACACATGTAGTTCGGATGTGTATGGTTCTGAAATTCCCAAATTATCAAATGAATCCTATGATTATATTCAAATCATAAATGACATGGCCCTAGATCTGGAAAAACAAGCCGTGTCCTGCAAATGGTTTGGCATTGAGAAAGGCTGCACGGATCTATTTACGAAAACCTATACCGATTTTGGTTTATGTTATACATTTAATGGTCTTAAAAACAGTGATTTATATCGTGAAGATACCATACAATATGGTCTCATGGATCTTGAGAGCGCCGTCGATGAGTCCCCTACGAAGCGTTTAAATCGCACATTAAATTGGTCACTGGAAGAAGGTTACAACAAAAATGCCCCCATCAAAACATATCCCGCCCGGGTTTTAAGTGCCAGTACAACGGCTTCATTGAAAGTCACATTGAGGGTACTTACCGATAATATAGACTACTGTTGTAGTGCCGGCACCGAGGGATACAAAATCGTCCTTCACACCCCATCCGTTGTTCCATTACCGTCCAAACGTTTTGTACGAATTTCAGCCCGCAAAGAAGTCTCGATTACCGTAAAACCCGTCTTGCTGACGACATCGAATGGAGTCGCTGTATATTCGCCAGATAAGCGAAAATGTTTCATGAACCACGAACGCTATCTGAGATTCTTCAAAAACTACAACGAACGTAACTGTGAAATGGAATGTCTTACGAATTTTACCCTCAAAGAATGTGGTTGTGTGAAATTCTCCATGCCACGTACCAGCGATATGCCCGTTTGTGCAGAGGATAAAATTGCCTGTTGCAACGAGGCGGAAGACAAAATGCTAATGGAATATTCCGATGATCGAGATAAAGATCCCTGCAGATGTATGCCATCTTGCACCTCCCTGCACTATGATATGGAAATATCCCAATCGGATTTCAATGAACAATACATTTTCTCAGCATTTGGATGGAAGGATGCCGAAACAGCGAAATGGTCCCGTCTCCTGGTCCATTTTAAGGATAATGAATTTATTGCCCGCAAACGTTCGGAACTGTATGGTTATGCGGATTTCCTGGCAAATTGTGGTGGTATTTTGGGTCTTTTTATGGGTTTCTCGATACTGAGCCTAATTGAATTTTTCTATCACATGACTTTGCGTCTGTTGTCGAATATGCGAAGAAAAAGCAAATATGTTATGGAGAATAAATCGAAAGCAATGAAGAACTAACGTTTGAATCGTGGTGTTATGTTTTAAATTTAATTATTTTACAATTTCTCCATAAAGTATGCTAAAGATTTTAATAATAAACTTAATTGGTACAATTTGCATTTGTATTTATGTGTGTGCTTTTATAACAATTGTTAATTGCAATTAATATGCAAATAATGGTTTCATTTCTTAATAAATTTAAAAAATGAATATCGTATTTTTATCTGCAAATGTATTTGTTCCGAACCATCCATCATTTGAAAAAATAATAATAATAATAATAATAATAATAATAATAATAATAATAATAATAATATAATAATAATAATAATAATAATAATAATAATAATAATAATAATAATAATAATAATAATAATAATAATAATAATAATAATAATAATAATAATAATAATAATAATAATAATAATAATAATAATAATAATAATAATAATAATAATAATAATAATAATAATAATAATAATAATAATAATAATAATAATAATAATAATAATAATAATAATAATAATAATAATAATAATAATAATAATAATAATATAATAATAATAATAATAATAATAATAATAATAATAATAATAATAATAATAATAATAATAATAATAATAATAATAATAATAATAATAATAATAATAATAATAATAATAATAATAATAATAATAATAATAATAATAATAATAATAATAATAATAATAATAATAATAATAATAATAATAATAATAATAATAATAATAATAATAATAATAATAATAATATAATAATAATAATAATAATAATAATAATAATAATAATAATAATAATAATAATAATAATAATAATAATAATAATAATAATAATAATAATAATAATAATAATAATAATAATAATAATAATAATAATAATAATAATAATAATAATAATAATAATAATAATAATAATAATAATAATACTGCTAAACAAGTAAAAAAGTTGTAAGTTCGGCCGGGCCGAAATTTGAATACCCTCCACCATCTAGAAATACGTTAAAAATGTTGTTAAAATCTTAAAAATACCCAATGTAGCCGTATATTAGGGTCTACGACGACATGAACCTACGTAGGTTACATTTGACATAAGCCATTACAATATTCAAATGCGAAACTTAAAAAAAAATTGGTTATAATGTCGATAAAATCAGAATACTGAATATCGGGAGGTACCGTTATATGGGGGCTATACGAAGACGTGGACCTGCACAGACAATTCTCTGTCATAGGCTGTAGTATTCATTACGAACTTCAAATACCAATTTTGAAACAATTCCGGTGAATAATGTCGCTAAAATAATCAAAATACCGAATATCGGGAGATACCTTTATAGGGGGGCTAATCGATTAATCGAAATTCGGCAAATATTAAAAAATGAGCTCGGGATAAAGCCATTGAAATTCCAAAACGTGCACCGCAGTAGAAAGAATATAGACTCACAAGAGCTAAAGAGTTGCTTCGCTTGCCCGAGAGTGGTGAACTGCCGAATTTGGTTTTTCTTCGATGAGAATACATTCGTTGTCCAGCAGTTTGTAAACAAAACAAATACAAAAGCCGTAAGTTCGGCCGGGCCGAACTTTGAATACCCTCCACCATTGGGAACGAATATGGCAATTCTCAAAAAAAAGAAAAAAAAAAAAAAAAGAAATAAATAAATAAATGAATAAATAAAATCCATTAAAACTTCTGTTAAAATCTTAAAAACATCAAATGTAGCTATTATATTAGGGTCTATACGACGACATGAACCTGCGTAGGTAACATTTGACATAAGCCATTACAATATTCTAATGCGAAACTTAAAAAAAAATCGGTTATAATGTCGATAAAATCACAATACCGAATGTCGAGAGGTACCGTTATATGGGGGCTTTCCGAAGAGGTGGACCTGTACAGACAATTTTCTGTCTTAGGCTGTAGTATCCATTACGAACTTTAAATACCAAATTTGAAACAATTCCGGTGAATAAATTCGCTAAAATAATCAAAATAGCGAATATCGGGAGGTACCGTTATATGGGGGCTATACGTAGACGTGGATCGGCACAGACAATTTTCTGTCTTAGGCTGTAGTATCTATAACGAACTTCAAATACCAAATTTGAAACTATTCCGGTGAAAAGTGTCGCTAAAATCATCAAAATACCGAATATCGGGAGGTACAGTTATATGGGGGCTATACCAAAACGTGGACCTACATGGCCCATTTTCAATAGCAAAAGTTCTGCAGACATAACATACATTTGAGCAAAATTTTATCAAACTACTTCAATTCGTTCGGAAGCTAGAGTGATTTCCACTGACGGACAGACGGACGGACATCGCTAAATCGACATAGAATCTTATGCTGATCAAGAACATAAATACCTTGTGGGGTCTAAAATGTGTATTTCGAGGTGTTAAAAACGGAATGACAAACTTAATATACCCTCCATACTATGGTGGAGGGTATAAAAAATGATCAAAGATGTCAGCTGAAAATGTGCACCTTCGGTTGGCCACCAGAACTCAAGCGCCGGCCACGGTGATGGTGTGGGTCGCCATATTAGTTTTCTTCCGTCTACTTCCTTGAAGTCGGGCTACGCTATCAGTATCACGCTAACGGGCGATGGTACGAGACACAAAAGATTTATTCACATTTTAATGCTAACGATACCCACTATCACGCTTGAATTCCATCTCGAATAACTTTGTTTCTGGAAAATTCTCACCAAAATGCTTTTTTACGCTTGTAAATAATGTAATGAGCTGACACTGGAATAATTTTAATAGCTGTCGGACGAGTGGCTTATAAATGACAGCAGTCAGTCGGGCACACTCAGAAAAAAGTTGTAATCTCTACATTACCTTTTTAGTGTACCCTGTTTGAGTCCGTAGAATATTAAGGAGGTCAAGTTGTTATAGTTTCATCTGAATCGATCTTTACCAAACTCTACAGACATACTTCAATGTTTGAGTCTGCTTCATGACGTAGTTCATCTGCGAGGTGTTTTTAAATTTGGACGGATTTTTTTCCACTATAAAAAGAGATAGTCCTCCAGCCAAGCAAATTTCGTGTACATAATTTGATCAGAATTATATGGTAATTTTGGTCTATGCTCTGTTGATAAAGTGACAGACAGACGGACCGGTGGACATGTATAAATTGACACATAATGTGATTCTATGGAGATCGTTAAAAGAATCTACGGGTATCTCTCGTTTCCTTTTGCATGTTACTATGGGCCACAGTGTGGTGTAGGATATAATAAGATAACACCGCAGATCACTTTCTATCTTCTTACAACCGGTATGATATAGGATAAACAAACACCGTATAATTTTTATTTTATTCAGTACAATAGTAGATATATCTTAATATATAGTTGCATAAAATTTTACCGACAGTCTCGATTTGTTATTGAAAAGCCAGTTGGTAAAAAATCCGTAATCTCCTAAAGGTACTGGCAATTGTTCCAGCGATCGTTGCAAATATAAATTTTCCAAACGAGGCATTAGAAATTCACTCTGAAAAAAAAAAAAAATAAATAAAAATGTCTTAGATTTAAAAAAAAAAAAAAACAAAAAATAAAAAAAAAAACGAATTTTTGAAGAAGAAATTTATTAATTTTTCCCGCAGAGATTATGATAAGGGTGCTTTAAGTTACTTACCACAAATGGACACATGCGTTCAAGGTTTGTATTTTCCCTGAACCAGGACCAAACTATTTTTGTTACCGGATTTTGATGCTTTGAAAAATTACAGTCCATAGTGAAGTTGTATAAAAATGGCTTGTATCCATTGGCTTTCTTTAAAAATTCCACTGTGGCCTGAAAGATAACGAATTTGTTTTTAACTCTGCAACATGTAGATATTTTCTGGCTGAAAATTGTATTAAATACACTTTACATACCAAAACATTCGTTGTAGGCACCAAATCGTTGTGAAATGTTACATTTAAGGTGGCAAACGACAGAGATCTCGAGACAGCCTTTACTTTACACATTGCAATCTTGATATTCGACTTATCAGCGCTTTCACATTGGATTTTGGTGAATTTAATACGAAATGCCTTTAAAATGAAAGAATGAGGAAAGTCAGTAAATAAGTTGTTAGAAACAATATTTTAGTCATGAAAAAAAAATAATAAAGATACTTGATGGATTATAGTTCTGTAATAGCTCAATTTAGGAGATTTTGCAAAACTTTATTAACTGACAACTTATAAGAATCTTCAAATTTCATATGTGGAAAGAATTCCATAAAAAGTTGGTATAAATCGCCAAAATACCATATCTCAAGAGGTTCCAGTATATATGTGTTGAGGAAAACGTCCTATACGGAGAAAGTGCTGCCGCTAGAGGCAGAACACTTTAGAAAATACACAAACCGAATTTGAAACACACAACTCAGTGACAGCTCATTATATTGCTTACAAGCGTACAAAAGTATTTTGGTGAGATTTTTCCAGAAAAAATCTTATTCGTGATGGAATTCAAGCGTGATAGTCCGATTTCTTTATATTGGGCTGGAAAACCACAAGAGGTTATCGTTAGAGCACTCCAGCATTTAAATATGAACAAATTTTTTGTGACTCGTACCGTCGCTCGTTATTGTGATACTGGTAGCGTAGCCCGACGTCAAGGAAGTGGACAGAAGAAAACAGCAACATCAGCGGAAATGGTTCGAAAAGTAAAGAAACGAATTGATCAAAACCCGCAGTGGCCCAAAAATGGCTCGTGAGCTGAACATATCGCAATATTCCATTCGGCCAATATTGAAAAATGTGCTCAGGGTAGAGCCATTGAAATTCCAAAAAGTGCAAGAACTTACACCGCAACTGAAAGAAATAAGACTCAAAAGAGCTTAAGAGTTGCTTCGCTTGGCCGGAAGTTTTGAACTGCCGAATTTGGTTTTCTGCGCAACGATGAGAAAACATTCGTTATCCAGCAGTTTGTAACCAAGCAAAATGATCGTGTTTACTTGTCAAAGAGGTCAGCTGAAAATGTGCACCTTCGGTTTGCCACCACAAGTCAGGTGCCGGCCATGGTGATGGTGTGGG